ACAATAACACCTCTGTAATTTGCCTGTTCGCCCCCCCCAAAATAAGCTCTTCGACGCAGAGAACGTTCACATTGCACACAGCTGTTGGCTAAACAAGACTCATTTCACATGAGAATATGATAGTTTGGAGACTTCTTTACAGCCTTGAGAAAACTTGTACCATAGGCACTTGCTGGTGACAGGGTCTCTTCCCCATACTGGGCACTTAACATACAATGCTGGTTTCACCGTCCCCCTTCATTATGACTATGATTATATGGCACTGCCCTGTGCTAGGAGTCACCATCTTGTATTAGATCTAATACCCGCAAATGGAGCGCAGGGCCACAGATCGGTCAGTGAGTGAGTGCAATGATGCCACCAACTGGCCATAAAAGTGTTTCATTTTTCTTGTGCCCAAGCCTTCAGAAAAAAGTCTACGTTAACCTTGAACTGCCTCCTTTTTTTCATTGACACTTTTGGTCTAAATAATGACACACCGCCAAGTGGTAACTTGTTTCCTGATGAATAACGGCAATGTGTAACTGCGGCCCAACTCAAACTTAGCATAATATATAACCTGACTTCATGAAAATTAATATGCCTTAAACTAAATTAATCAAACTTAACCTTAACTAACCCAATGGAACCAAATCGCACCTTACCTACTTTCATTTTTTGTTCTAATTCAATCTATCTCCATGATCATTGCAATGCAACTATTAGCATTCAAAACTATTAAGGATAATTAATCATTTACTTCCAAATGTTTTTCATTAAACTCATTCATATTAACATTATGTACACATTTCACCACACATATCCAATCTAGGCAAAACAGTGAGAGTTCAATCTGCGAACATTGGACAATGCACAGATTCAGCATAAAGGGGATAATAAACGTACTAATACACGGTGCGTCCCAAAAGTTATGAAATATATATATTAAATTTATTGATGATATCGGTACAAAGTGTTAATATTCTTCAAAGTACTGTCCATGAGCATCTACACATTTTTTCCACCGACTCTCCCATGCCCGGTACGGCTCCTCAAAGGCCTCAACTGGAACCTCATTTAAAGCTGTTGTCACGACCGCTTGGATAGCCTGAATGCTTTCAAAACGGCGTCCTTTGAGTGCAGTCTTGATCCTCGGGAACAAAAAGAAGTCGGCCAGAGCTAGGTCGGGGCTGTAGGGTGGCTGCGGCAGCGTTGCCATGTGGTGCTTCGCCAGGAACTCACGGACGAGCAGAGACGTGTGGCTGGGCGCATTGTCGCGATGCAGCCGCCAGTTAGCGGCGGTGTCTTTTCGCACGTGGATGACCCTTTTCCTTAATCTTTCTAGAACATCCAAGTAGTAGGGAGCGTTGACGGGCGTCGAAAAAGACGATGAGCATTGTTTTCACTTTGGATTTGCTCATCTTCGCCTTCTTCGGTTTCGGGGAAACCGAGGGGTGCCATTCAGCACTGTGGCGCTTCGTTTCTGGGTCGTACTCAAATGTCCACGTTTCATCACCGGTAATAACACAGTCTAAATAATGAGGTCCAATTTCCACATGTTCCTTCAATTCACCCGCGATCAACACTCGATTGGCCTTCTGCTCGTCCGTCAACAATTTGGGGACCAGCTTGGTGCACACCTTTCGCATGTTCAATTCGTCCATAACGATGCGATGCACAACGGTTTTTGGAATGTTCAGAGCGTCAGCTAACAAC